TGGCTCACATGCATTAGCTATGAAAATGAAATAAGACAGTGCCTTAAGAGGCACTCGGAAGGCAGCAGAGTTCCAGGTTCTTGACACAGCCCCATAGAGGATCCCAGGCTGCCACAGAACTATGGGTGTGGACTGACCTTCCAGTTACTTCCTTTGGTTCAGGCTGTACTCTCCTTCTTAAAGGTCTTCCTGATTTGCTTTTTTGGACAGAATGCTAGACACTGCAGGACTGGCCTGTTAGAACTCAGTGGCCCACCAGGCCTTGTTGGGCTGACCCCTCATTGGGGTTTTAGGGCCTCTGTCCCACCTCTTGGCCCATTACACCTATGCCTTGTTCTGCCAGTCAGGACTGAGCAGCTCCTGGGGGTGGGACCACCGTGCCTTATACTCTGGCTTCCTGTGGAGGTTTCTAGTAGCCAAGGCCCCAGGGCTGGTTCTATCCAGGAGAGTCCAGATGGGTGTAGTTGAGATTAGCACATGAGAGCTGCCAGCTCCCCTCTCGCACAGAGGGTCAGCCACATACCCTCTCCCCACAGGTGCCCCCTGAAAACTCTGCAGAAGTGTGAGATTGCCCTGGAGAAACTCAAGAATGACATGGCCGTGGTGAGTGGGGTGCTGTGGTCTGGTGAGGTTCTGAGGGCCGTAGGCATCTCTGGGAATGTCAGGGCTCATCCGACGGCAACTCAGAACCACACACTGGGAGGAGTCTTCACAGTCCAGGGTGGGCAGAGGGGGCTCGTCGCTCAGCCTGGGGACCCTGCTTGGAGTCTTCTTCCAGGTAGGTCTGCTGTGGGTGTTGGGGATGTGGGAGAAATTGTCCTGCAGCTGTGGCCTGTGGGTGCTTCCTTCATCTCCCAGGCTTGTGGGTTTTCTTTTAAGCTGCATCCGCCATCCTGCCTCCACTTGCCTAGCCAGGGCCAGGCCCTGGTGGGAAGGGACTTGGGGAGAATGTCTCCAGGATTGGCCATCTTTGTCTGCAGGGGTTGGAAGTGGTGGGGAAGCCTTGGGAAGCATGGCTGTAAATAAGGTTGAGGGCCTTGGGGTCTGGAGAGCCCTCCTAAGAGAAGGCTGCTGACCCCGCCCATCTTGTACCAGCCCACGCCCCCACCACCCCCGGTGCCACCAACCAAACAGCAGTACCTGTGCCAGCCGCTCCTGGATGCCGTCCTGGCCAACATCCGCTCACCCGTCTTCAACCATTCCCTGTACCGCACATTCGTGCCAGCCATGACTGCCATCCACGGCCCACCCATCACGTATGTACAGCCCAGGGCTTAGCCTTGAGGTGGGTGGCAGGTGGCGGATTACAGGCCACAGCGTAGCCCAGTGTGGTCACCACGGTCGCCTCCTCCAGGGCACCGGTGGTGTGTACCCGGAAGCGTAAGTTTGAAGAGGATGAGCGGCAGAGCATTCCCAATGTGCTCCAGGGGGAGGTGGCCAGATTAGACCCCAAGTTCCTGGTGAACTTGGACCCTTCTCACTGTAGTAACAACGGCACCGTCCACCTGATTTGCAAGCTGGGTGAGTACGGGGGGAGGGCAGGGCTGGCGGGGAGTGAGCCCTGCACTGTAGGCCCAGGGCTCCATTTCCCCAGGCCGTGGGGGTGCTGAGAACACAGAGCTACCAAGCCTCGCCTCAGGACTGGCTTAGCCTCCCGCAGACACGCAGGCTCATACCACAACCCTAGGCCCACAGTCCTTTTGTCCCTCTCAGGAGCCTGCCTGCAGTGTCCTTGATCCTCACACACCTGGCCCCAGGACAGCTCCTGAGGGCTGGACCATGAGCCCAACACTCTCACCTCTCTCCTGTGTGCCAGGGAAGCCCCACCCTCCTGCCCAGGTGTGGCTCTTCTTCCCTGAGGCCCTGGGGAGACTTGGAAACCCGAGTCAGAGTGCCCTCCAGGCTTTGCAGCCACACCAGAGCAGGGCTGTGAGGCAGGGTGAGCGGGTCACAGGCACAGCCTCTTGTGTTACAGATGACAAGGATCTCCCAAGCGTCCCACCACTGGAGCTCAGTGTGCCCGCTGACTACCCTGCCCAGAGCCCACTGTGGATCAACCGGCAGTGGCAGTATGGTAGGTGAACCGAGAGGACAGCTGTGAGGGAGTCCTCACAGCTGCTGCCTGGGGATCCAGGGCAGGTGGGGTCAACTCTGGGCAACCAAGTTTTCCTCTATGTTCCCTCCCAAGCTGAGGCCCCTCCCTCTCCTCCTCTGGCTCCCCCTTTGTGGACAGGAGCAGGTTGCCTAGCAACCACTGGAGAAAGAAGGGTCTCTGCCCCCACTGTGTCCCTTGTCCTGCAGCTCCAGGGCATCTGTTCAATAGGTGAGGAGCAAGCAGACCCAGGCCCAGCTGTTCCAGCAGCCCTTGTGCGCCTCTGCAGGGCCCACATGGGGGAACAGACAGGAGCCCGGGCTCATGGGAGCCCATCTGGGTGACATGGGTCTAAGACAGAGGCCCAGAGAGTTTCCCTGATGAGTCCCATGAGGCTCAGGGCTGGCACACAGAGGACCAGGAGTAGGACCCTGAGGCTGTCCCTGAGGGAAAGCCCTGCGCTCTAATTCATGTTCTAGTTCTCTAGTGACATGTTGGCCTAGGAGAACCTACCAGCCACCAGCGGTGCATGGGAGATGGCATCCCAGGTAGTCATGGCAGAGGACACAGTGCTCAAGGCCCTCTGCTTTGTTGCAGACGCCAACCCCTTCCTGCAGTCGGTGCACCGATGCATGACCTCCAGGCTGCTGCAGCTCCCTGATAAACACTCAGTTACAGCCCTGCTCAACACCTGGGCGCAGAGCATCCACCAGGCCTGTCTCTCTGCTGCCTAGCCGCCACCACCACTGCTGCATCTTGGGCTGCCAGCCTACCAGGGACCATGGGGTCAGCTGGCAGCCTTGTTGGGGCCACAGAGGATACATAATTCCTGTTGGACCTTTCTAGGTGTTGGCTCCTTTAGAGAGCCTGGGCTTAGGTTAGCTTTCCTGCTTTTATCTTTTGCTGTGGGGACCCACCAAACATTTCCCCACACTTGTACAGGACTGGAACAGGTGGCTGTGGAACTGGCTGCATCAATGGTGGGGGTGGCAGACATGCGCCCTCCCCGGGGCCTGCGCTCCTCCACCTGCTGTCCCTTTGACATCTGCAGGGCCTATGCCCTTCCTCAGCATCATTGGGGAGAAGTCAGGGCCTTGTTACAGGTCCTTGTGTGTGTGCCAGAAAACACTCAACCCATTTCTGTAGGGGAACATGGAAAACATAGGAAACCCTTGAAACACACAGAATTCTCTGCTCATAGGGTTGGGTTCAGAGTGTGCCACCGTTAGCATATGGGGCATGCCACAGGGAGGCTCCCAGATCCAGGGGTGCCGGCTACGTCTCAGAGGAAAGTGTGGCCTGTGGGTGGTTGCAAGTCCCCACTACCAACTGGACCTCATACCTCACGGCATTGTCCCTTCAAGCCCTGGGGGCCTGCTCAGCACTGTGGGGGTGCTGGGGAGCAGAAGATTCTGGGGAAATCCTGTCCCTGGCACTTTGTGCACTAGTTGGGCTCACTCTTGGGTCAGGGTACCATCTTCTGGACCTGGCGTCCTCACAGCCACTCCAGAGTGAGGGCTCCCTGATGAGGCACAGCTGACCCTCTGGTGACAGGAGATTCCCTCTTTTGTATGTGCACTACCATGTCTTCTGTGGTTCTTATAATAAATTTATTATTCCTGTGTTTGTCATGAATTTGTCACTGTGTGCCACACCACCCCTTTGAGTCCAAGGCCCACTCTCATTGAGGGGTGTTGTCAGGCCTGAGCCAGGCCCCCTTCCTTGGAGATGGCCATGGACGCCCAGACCTTAGTTCACCCTCATCCTGGTTCACCTCCAGGTTTCTGGCAAAGTCCCTGTTCTCTGAAGCTGGGAGAGGCAAAGATTAGCACTGAGGAGCACCCATGAGATGTAAGAGGAAGCTGCTGTACTGGTGATTGAGCGATTGATGATAGGCCCTCACAGGGTGGGAACCATTCTCCTGCACCCTTGACTGTGGCACTCCACAGAGGACAATGGGCTTGGCAGAGTGACTCATTGACTGATCGTCATGTAGACACAAGATGTTGCTGAGGCAGGTGGACGGTGTCTTTCCCGAGGAGTGTCTGGTCAGGCAGGAGACCCTGAGTGCCCATGCACCTGGAAGGCAGCCCCGGGCCAGGAAAGCCCGCTGTATCCAACCGGAGTGCACACAGCTTGTTTCCAGAGTGGCTGCCAGCGTTCCCCCCCCCCC